TTCTGCATGTCGTAAAAGCCTAATTTATGACGTTACGACTCGCTAATATAATCAGAATGCACGTTTGAAAGAAAAATGATGTAAAACAAGCGCAGCAGTTAGCAAGAAGGCGTCGGGTTTTCTATCTGCTGAATGCAAACGCTTCAATAATATACGTACATGTACCATCTCCACATAAAACAGCACCATTTCAATTTTAGAGGCATGTTCTCTTTGGGAAATGGGGAAATGGAAATGCAAGCAATTGTTAATATTTTATAAACAGCTTTCTTTTGGCATGTGCAATGTCTATTACGGGGAATTGCTATATGCACAAGCATAGATTGCTTTTTATTTTAAAACTACAGCTTTGTAGACAGCAAGCACTTTTTCTGGCATGTATTTATACTTGGATATAAATATCGTAATCAATAAGCTCTGGTTAATTAATTACCTCCGCTTCCCTAATGATTTTGCTGAGGGTTGGTCGTATAATTATATAGTTATTGACCTGCAATCTTTTTTATTAATATTCGGGCGTTCTAATTGTTTCGACACTACAAATCTGGATATAATGACGCAATTGCTTGGTCGTTATTTTCATTCACTCACATTTGATATAAGTATAATAAATTTGAAGTATAATGCATCCGTATATTTAACCGCCTTCGAGTAAAAGGCTACTAATTAAGTTTACTAGTGTATAGTTTGATACATACACCATCACGAAATTTTGAAATTATTTTTCTTGGATTTACAATTGGACTAGTGTATGGACTGGATTTACAGTGTATGTATCATTTGACTACAAGCCAAATTTGTGGTATTGAGGAACTTAGATTCATTTTTATCTTTGGGTGGTGTCCACATTGTGGTTATTTATACAATAGACATATATTAGACAGTATATATCAATATTCTGAATGAATATATAGACAGTATATATGAATATATATGCAATATATATGAATATGAATATACTGTCTAATACATTAAAATCAGAGTTACATTAAATAAAGAGTAAATTTAATAAAGATCGTGTTAGTAATGAAAAGAGTATTACACAAATAATTTACGACACCGCATTTAATCTGATGGACTGGCCCCTTAGTTTAAACCTGCATGGCCAACATGGGAAGATCGATACTATTGTAATTTGTTTAGATTGCTCAGGGCCTCTGCCAGAACTTATGGTTACATGCCGTCAATAAATTTTAACACCAAGCAAACAAAATATTCCAAACTCCCAACTTTGTTCGAACGTACGACCGTTTTTTATGTGATTGGGAAATTCCAACTCATGGAAAGCACATATGCTATATAATTTATTCTAAAAAACAATGCTTGAAGTCGATGAAGTTCGTTTGAGGTATAATAAGTATAATGACGGCAAACTAATTTTGTTTGCATGCTTAATCAGAAATATTCTTGAAAATGCAAATGCAAGCGAGTACATGTAGTAGTGGCATAGTTTATGTAGCAGTCTTTTTTGCCTCGAATTTTTGATAGAAACTGTCCTTTATATGTCCGGAATCGCTTCGTTACCCGCTAAAGCATACGTTTTTCGATTAATGTATATCGAATTTGTTTTCTTTGCGTTGATAGCGTGACATTTCTTATTAACCATATTCATATTTCATTATATTTGGCTATTTCCATGTGCATTTCCTCTATGAGTCTCTGTAATTTTACCTCTGGTATTGGTCCTTACTTTGCTACCCATACCATCTTTTTTAAACTAATAAACTGAACCTTGWAAAAACTTTTGAGTCGTTTTTCTTTAGCTGAATTTCGCAAGTAACTAGTGTGTTAACTTTATGAATTGTTATGAATTCTTTAAGCTAAATTTAAASAGTGTATTTTTATTTCATTTTTATCAATTAAATCTGCWACTATTATGTTATTGAATTTATAAAAAATCGATTTTAAGAACTTACKCTTTTATTTTTGATTTTCAAAGCTTTTCTTATTTTCTTGATCAACTCCTTTGGAAATATTTGGATCCATCCTGATATATTTGCTCAAAGTGTTTCCTCTATATTCTGTAAATTTCCGGCTATAAACACCAACGATATTAACTTTTCTACGCTTCTGTCTAGCTTCTTCCTTGATTCATTGTCTTATTTTTAACATTCACTCCTCTTCTCAATCTGTTGTATTCTTTACATCTGCAGCATCAATTTTCACATTCAACGAGTTAATGGAAACAGCCCTCTCTATACACGACTGCTGGCTTTGTGACTAACTATTAGAATCAATTCGCTTGAACACCTT